TTCTTTAAATAAATTTGCGGATAAGTTATTACTTTTTCTTTTATATATACAGGGTGCCATTTTTTAATTTTTTTTATTTCGCGCATGCGCGTAGGTTGTTTTTAATTTTGTCGACTGCTCATTAAAATAAAGTCCGTTGGGCACCGTCTGCAAGAAAAAGATCACCCTGACCCAATTCACTCCGCCAGAAATTTGGAACCAGCATTCGGTACTGCTTGGCATCCTCTTCAATACAAACATTTCCGACTTTGCGGACGTCAATCTGAAGAGAGTGCAGAGTATTCGGAAAGAGTTGGATGAGTCTAATGGTGATTACGAAGGTTTTTGCGAGTGATCAGTAGTGATGGCGATATTATGACTGCATTAATATTCCCACGGGGCCTCAGACTCATAGATAGATAGATAGATAGATAGATAGATAGATAGATAACATACTGAGATAGATAGATAGATAGATAGATAGATAGATAGATAGATAGATAGATAGATAGGCCTATGCCATTCTACCTTTGCTTTGTAAGTTTATAAAATAATGAAGATGCAGGCCTGATGAAACAGTCACCACACGATGTTGAATTCAGTGTCCACTTTATATATATATATATATATATATATATATATATATATATAATTATTATTTATAAAAAAATTATAACATAAGTATACTTATGTTATAATTTTTAAGAATAATAATTATTGGTTATTGGAATTCATTCCGTATATACAAATTATATACTTGAGTATATATATATATATATATATATATATATATATATATATATATATATATATATATATTAGTTAATATCTCTCGGCCCACCACTGGATGAGTATATGAAGAAGAAAAAAAATTACTGAGGCATCAGTTACGCTTTAACAAAAGTGAAATATCAGATAAGGATTAAAATAAAGATTATTGAAATGTGAGTTAAGGTAAAAAAAATTATTGAGATATAAGATATAAGTTGAGATATACACTTCCCAATTTCCCCGGTCTCACTGCACAGTAGTATTTTTTCTACATCCTGGGAAGTATCAAAAGTTTTGACCCTAAGATATCTGCTGGCCGAGAAAAAAAATAACCAGTAGTCTGTGGAAGGAGTCAAACGTTTGCCTGGTTTTCTAGACCCCGGGTGAGCGCTCAACACCCTCTCTGTATAGACCCGTCAATCTCCACAGTGTCATTGGCAAACTTTTTGAAGCTATAATCAACAAGAAGCTTGATTATCACCTAAATAAGAACAACCTCTTGAACGACAAGCAGTACATATATCGATCGATCCGATCCACTGCTGATGTCCGTACTATCATTAGCCACAGAATCAGTGACGTATCCGTATTGTATCCTCTTGCAAGGAGATACAGTCGAAATATTATAGGCCCAACTGACAACTACATCCAGAGTCGCTTACACCATTCCAATCTAAAAAGAATCAACTGGTGTAAATTCTACTCTGTTTTTTTTTTATGTGTTTCGAAAAGAACTCTTTATTACAAATTGCCTAAAATGATATTGCACACCGATACGATGAGCGAATGTCTCGTTTGAAAGTCGCACTCGAAGAGATCGTATCTTTTATTTCTAGACAAGAAAGCGGAGGCAATTTATTGCTACTTGACAATTTTCGTCCTCCAATTGCGAATGCAACGTGGTAAGTGACTAGTATTGCTCGCTATGGCACATGTTGTCTGGTCAGCGATTGAAACGCAAAAATGTAACGAACTTTTTTCAGAGAATCCATTGAACCAAAAGCAGAATCGTTCTTTTAAGAATGAATGCTAATCGAGGTCTTTATATTCATTTCGGCGCAAATAGCCTTGCTATTATCTATCTATCTATCTATCTATCTATCGCAATATATTATCTATCTATCTCAGTATGTTATCTATCTCAGCATGTTATCTATCTATCTATCTATCTGAGTATGTTATCTATATATCTATCTCTCTATCTTTCTATCGTAATATATTATCTATCTATCCATCTCAATATATTATCTATCTCAGTATTTTATCTATCTGCCTATCTATCTATCTCAATATCTATCTATCTATCTATCTATCTATCTATCTATCTATCTATCTCAGTATGTTATCTATCTCTCTGTCTATCTATCTATCTATCTATCTATCTATCTCAATATATTATCTATCTATCTATCTATCTATCTCAGTATGTTATCTGTCTTCTTTTTTTAAGCGTTTCACTCCAAGCAAGCAAGGCGGGAAGCCACTAGCACGCACGGGTGTTACAGAGAATTGGAGTGAGAGCAAATAGGAGTGATAGAGGAAAAGATGAAGACAAGGATAGGGGATAGATCAAGGCATCTGGAGACGTCGATTGACATTACATTTGAATAGATGGAGATTATAGGAATCAGGAAGAGGAGAGAGAGTTCCACAGGCGAGAAGTGCGAGACATGAAGCTATTGGAGTAAAAGAGACGGCTACATTTAACAGTTTCGACATTGAAAGGGTGAGAGCGAGATGCCAGCCTGGTAGAACGCTTAAATTCATGAAGTCTGGGAACCAGCGAAAACAGCTCATCGGAGCAGTTACGGTGAAAGTATTTGTAAAAAAGACAGAGGAAGGCAACGGCACGTCTGTGAGAGAGCGACTGAAGACGAGATGCCAGATCAGGGCCAATTATATTGCATATCCGTCTCTGGATCTTATCAAGAACCTTGAGACAAACATAGGGGGGCACCAGGCTGTCTATCTATCTCAGTATTCACTTGCAAACAAATAATTATCCTTACGTTTTGAATTATAGACAAAGAGTTGATATACGGATAAACAAAACGGATCAATGAATTATGAATGATTACAGAATTTAGAGAAATGGCAACGTTAGATCCTGTAAAGAAAAAGGTTAGTGAAAAGAAAGGATGCAGTTAATGTTTGCGTCAAAGTATTATTATAAAAAGAAAAAACAAAAACAGAATTTAGCCGAAAGATCATTCAAGATGGAGGAAAAACATTGACTGCTGAATAATGATGTTATGAATAAATATGAACAATAATTTCGTCAGAAAATTATGCTTTTAGCTGAAATGTGACGTAAGATAGTTCAAAATGAAGGAGACACATTTATTGCTGAATAATGATGTTATGAATAAATATGAAAACTTACATGGTGGTAACTTTGACTACAACCTAATAACACCTATTTTATGTTAAATCACGGACAGAAAATAACTTTATATAAAATACTGCCTTTAAAAAGTTTTGTAAAAAAAAGAAACAGGGCAGATAATATTTGCGTCAAAGTCTTATAAAAAAAACACAGTTTAACCTAAATATGCCGTAAGAACATTCAAAATGGCGGAAATACATTGATTACTTAATAATGATGCTATAAATGAATACGAATAATAATTTCGTCAGAAAACAATGCTAAAGCTTTTAACTGAAATGTGACGTAAGACCGTTCAAAATGTAGGAAATACATTCGTTGCTGAATAAGAATGTTATGAATAAACATGAACAAAAATTAAATGCTGTTAACGTTGGCTAAAACCTAATCTCTATCGATAAAAGGCAGGATGTGTGTGTGTGTGTGTGTGTGTGTGTGTGTGTGTGTGTGTGTGTGTGTGTGTGTGTGTAACGAATGCACGGCCGCAATTTTCGACGGATTTGCACCAAAATTTACATGCACATCCTCCAAGTTAGTGGGGAAGGCCAACACCGAGTTTGCATTTCCCAACTCCTATCGATAGTGGAAATAATCGATTTTGTCATGCTTCTATGACCGTTTTCATGTAGTTTGCGGCCATTTTCTACTGGCCAGAGTGAGAACCAATAGCTGGCTACCACGAATAGGTAGAAAGATTCTATTGGCCAGCGTGCGAGCCAACAGCTGACTGACACGAATGTTAACTAGCATGCTAGCATGCAAAAAAACAATCGATAGCTGCATTCGTAACAAGTGGGAAAAATTTAAATCTGCATGGCACTTTACTCCAATTGGCTCATTCGCTTGCTTAAACTCAACGTTGATTCTGATTCCGCAGAACTGGGTTGGGTGTGAAAAAGTATTTGTTGTTAACATTCTTTTTTTCCTTCGGTTTTTCCAGTTACGAGTCCTTTTTTAAAGCTGATCGATTTGTGTTCATTTTGTTTAGTTCTTTTTTCGTAACAGATTTAATGTTTAGTATAGAGCTTCGAAAAAATTCGCAGTTTGAGATAGGCAAGAAGTAAGGCATGTAGCAACATCAGCACGGTTAAGGGCACTCCTTTAAAGGCAAGGAAGGGCAAAAATATTTTAAGTCAAGTGATAGCGATTGCTGTATGAGTCGTACGATTTTTGAATCGAGCACGGGGAACGCCGGGCCATGATGCTAGTAACACCTATTTTATTTTTAATCTCAGACAGAAGAAAAAACTAATATAAAATACCATCTATAAGACGTCAGGTAGATGTGAAATCAAAAATGTTTATTTAGTGTCGAGTGTCCTTTAACGTGGCATACTGTGTGTGTGCGTGTGTGTGTGTGTGTGACTGCGAAACGTACGAATGATTGCGCATGTGTGTGTCTGGCGGATGTGTTTGTCTGTTTATTTCTCGTCTGCTATCAGAGGTGACCCGAATCTGTCCATTGTACTACTGTGTTGTTATTGTTACTCTTCAATCGGACAAACAAGCCATAAATCAGATAACAATTCTAATACTTTCCCAACATATTGCTGGCTGGGCGCCCCGCTAAATTTTGTTTGGTTTTTATTTCCTTTCTGTTTTGTTATTTCCACCCACAACCACTATTTAGATGCTTACGTATATAATATTATCAAAAAAGAAATATATATATATATATATATATATATATATATATATGAATCAATTGATAATATTGCGTAGTTATTTGCGCGCATGTGTCGTTGCAATAGGTTTCTATAAATGTTAGAGAGCAGTTTATGGGCCTTGTGATTTATAATAGAAAGATGACGAAATAGGTACGGCGGCGTAGACAGACAGAAAGAAAGAAAGAAAGAGAGGGAAGTCAAAATACTGAAAAAGAAAGAAAGAAAGAAAGAAAGAAAGAAAGAAAGAAAGAGAAAAGAATGAGGTAGATAGAGAGATACATAGATAGAAAGAAAAAAAGAAAGAAAGATGGAGAAAAGAATGAGATAAATAGATAGATAGATAAAGAAAAAAGACATAGATAGATAGAGAGATAGAAGGAAAGAAAGAAAGAAAAAAGGAAAAAAGAAAGAGAAAAGACTGAAATAGATAGAAAGAAAGAAAACAAAGAAAGAGAAAAGAATGAGGTAGATAGATAGAAAGAAAGAAAGAAAGAAAGAAAAAAGAAAGAAAGGTAGATAATAGAATGAGATAGATAGATAGATGGATAAAGACAAAAGATAGATGGAAAGAAAGAAAAAAGAAAGAAAGAAAAAGAAAGAAAGAAAGGTAGATAAAAGAATAAGATAGATAGATAGATAGATAAAGAAAAAACACATAGATAGATAGATAGATAGATAGATAGATAGATAGATAGATAGAAGGAAAAAAGAAAGAAAGAGAAAAGAATGAGGTAGATAGATAAAGATAAAGAAAGAAAGAAAGAAAAAAGAAAGAAAGAAAGGTAGAAAAAAGAATGTGATAGATAGATAGATAAAGACAAAAGAAAGAAAGAAAGAAAGAAAGAAGGAAAAAAGAAAGAGAAAAGCATAAGATAGAAAGAAAGAAAGAAAGAAAGAAAGAAAGAAAGAAAGAAAAAGAAAGAAAATGAAAGGAAGAAAGAAAGAAAGAAAGAAGGAAAAAAGAAAGAAAGAGAAAAGAATGAGGTAGAAAGAAAGAAAGAAAGAAAGAAAGGTAGATAAAAGAATGTGATAGATAGATAGATAGATAGATAGATAGATAGATAGATAGATAGATAGATAAAGAAAAAGACATAGATAGAAAGAAAGAAGGAAAAAAGAAAGAAAGAGAAAAGAATGAGGTGGATAGATAGAGAGAAAGAAAAAAGAAAAAAGAAAGAAAAAAGAAAGGTAGATAAAAGAATGTGATAGATAGATAGATAGATAGATAGATAGATAGATAGATAGATAGATAGAATAGATAACATACTGTGATAAAGATGTAAATATGAACTGAAATAAACAGAAAACATGTAGATGGATAGGTAGATACATCTCTATGCAGAGAGTGCAATAGACGGAATCGTCAGGCCGCCAGCATGAAACAGTCTGTCGCCTCTGAGTGTTGACCAATATTCACACTCTCTCTCTCTCTCTCTCTCTCTCTCTCTCTCTGTGATATTGAGCACTTTATCTCAAAATATAACACACCTTAAAACTATATTTTTTTATATATATATATATATATATATATATATATATATATATATATATATATATATTATAAATTAACTGATTTAAATATGTTTTTTTTTTCGCTACATGTTTCAAAAATGGAAGCTAAAAGCTCCGAATTTAATTTTGTAATTAAATTAAAGACATTAGTTCCATTTCATCCTCAAGCGAATTTTGGAGTAACTTATTTTTAAATTTACTGAGTTTTAAAGGCACAGCGAAAAATCATAATTTACAGTTTCCAAGGATACCGAGAAATCCATTCATCCAGACAAGGGGTGGTAGCGTGTTTATTTTTATTAACTTTTGTTGTATCAGTTTTTAGTTACGTTCGAAAAAGGGGTTATGCCCTCCCCTTTAAAAGTAGGGATGTATTTTTCAACGAATTCTGACATCCGTTAAATGCATGTCGTCTGGGATTTTAGAAAAATTTTATTGTTAACGGCAAAAAATTCTTACGGCATTTTTTCTATTTGTATAATTAAAAAGTTTTTTAGTGGGGGTGATATTTAGGTTAGTATACGCTTTATTTAACTACTATTTTAAAATATTTTTCCTTTTAATTTTTAATAGACAATGTTTCTTTTGTAAAACAAGTAAATGTAATAGAATTATTTACAGTATATAAAATTATTTTTCCATATCAAATATAAGTATGTGTATTACCAGGTCACATTTTTTTCAAGATTTTATCTTTCAAAATATTATTTAAGAAAATTTTTTGACAATGACGGCAAAAAATAGCTAATTCATATCTTTGATTCAGTAAATTTGTAATATTTTTTATATTTTATATATAAACCTAGTAATATATAGTTTCTCATGTATGCACAAAGGACATGGGTCATTTACCGGGTTACATATTTTACCTTTTCTTATTAGTTTCTATTTTAATTTAAGCGTTGGATTCTTTTTAGTGTCAGATGTACTTTGAGAGATATTGGTAGCTTAGAATTTGTTTTATTTTATTTAATTACAATTTTAAAGGATGTTTAGGTTAGAATACGTTTTATTTTACTACAATTTTAAAATATTTTCACTGTTAATTTTAATAGAGTATATTTCTTTTTAAAACAGGTATATGTAATAGAATTACTTACATTATATAAAATTAATTTTTAATAGCAAATATAAGTATGTATATTACCAGGTCGGATTTTTTAATTTTATTTTTAAATAATATTTAAGGCAAATTTTTCACAATCACGGCAAAAATAGCTATTACATTTCTCTGATTCAGTAAATTTTTATTTTTTATAACCTTAGTAATATATATAGATTCTCATGTATGCACAAAGGACATGGGTCATTTAATGACCTACATATTCTAGCTTTTCTTATTAATTTCCATTTTACTGTAGGGGTTTTATTGGATTCTTTCAGGTACCAGAAGTACTTCGAGAGAGATATTTGATTTCTATATTTATTTATCCTAAAGGAACGTTGATGTTGGTTGAAACGCTTTTTGAATTCATGGCTTGTGCAACCTATATATATTTTTATGTTTTCAGGATTTTCAATAGAAGAAATATTGCATTGGTATACTAATGATTCAGTGCGATATTTATTTTGTAGAGGACAGTACATCCCCACCCGTAGCTAAACTTAACCCCTTTTTCGAACGTAACAAATAACTGATACAACAAAAATTAATAAAAAAAAGAACACGCTACCACCCCTTGTCTAGATGATTGGATTTCTCTGTATACTTGGTAACCGTAAATTATGAATAGTGTCTTGATGAATGGATTTCTCTCTATCCTTGGTAGCCGTAAATTATGAATTTCCCTTGCAGTTAAAACTCAGTAAATTTTTTAAAAATAAGTTACACCAACATTCGCTTGAGGATGAAATGGAACTAATGTTTTTAATTTAATTACAAAATGAAATTTAAAGCTTTTAGCTTCCATTTTCGAAACATGGTTATTAATGTGTAGCGAAAAAAAACTTATTTTAAATCAGTTAATTTATCATATTAATGCTCTGTAAACTTAGATTGAGCACTATTTTGTAAGAAATAAAAATATCAATAACAACACAGGATTACATATCTTACTGTACTTTCTTTTTATCTTTATATTATATATATATATATATATATATATATATATATATATATATATATATATATATATATATATTTATAGTTAAACCTAGAGCGTCAAGGCTTCACCTAAGCGGATCGTCAGGGGAAGCCTTCTTACTTACTTACCGAATTGAACACTTTATTTAGTTGTTTTGCTTACTCGTATCGGGTATTTTTTTTCCGTGGATTTGGATGCTAGACGATTATTTTCGGCTAACGTACATGTTCTTTGTTCTTTCTTTTTTTACGCCATTTTTTTCCCTTTGGTATTGGTTTGATTGTTTGCAAATCAAGACACCGAATTCAATATAATTCACTAAAGACACGCACTCATGTGCATGTGTGCGTGTATGTTTTTGCATAGAAACTGCAATATTTCTGTGTAAAACGTGTATATATATATATATATATATATATTGACGTAATGATGAATATCCGAAGCTGGTGTGTTCGAAAATATTTCTGGAAAGCCTCACATATTCGTAGCAATTTTCCTTTATTTACGTAATTGAAAAACATTTTTTTTTTCTCTCTATATCTATCTCTCTATATCTATCTCTATCTATCTATCTATATCTATCTATATCTATCTATCTATATATATATATATATATATATATATATATATATATATATATATATATATATATATCCATCTCTATCTCTCTATATATATATATATCTCTCTATCTCTCTATATCTATATATATATATATCTATCTCTCTCTATATATATATATATATATCTATATATATATCTATATCTCTCTATATATATATATATATATATATATATATATATATATATATATATATATATATATATATATATATATATATATATGGATTGCACGAGTGATAAATAAAATTTACACCGATTGACACTCGTGAAAAAATGGCAGACTCGTCAGACTTACATTAGAATTTAAAAAAAAAAAAACTTAGACATCTGTGTGGCTTACACTGGTGTCGAAGCGTTGGAGATAGGCTCGCTTTCAACTTGAATCAAAATGGTAGACCTTTGTCTAGTTTCTTGTCGATAGCCACTCGCATCGGGGGATCGTCATCGTCTTTCTCTGTTTCCTTTCTCTAACCTGTTGGCCGGGGCGTAGATGGCTGTAAATTAAAGAGATTTTAGAGAGGCCATTCGCGTGAATTACATTTTGATAGACAACCCTGCTCGGCAAAGAAGCCCACACACTAGGCTAGAAGCGATCCCCTCGTGGTTCAAAGGGGACTGAAACGGGCGAGATCTGGCAAAACTGGTTGCAGCAGGCTGTCAAATGCTTGGTCCACCTAACACGCGAGTTAAAAAAGCTGACCGTAAGCCCGATTTAAAATAAAGTTAAAATGGTTGACGTATATTCAGTTTAAGTGAGTCAAAAAGGTAGACATAAGTTAAATTTACAGTAGAATAAAAAAGATAAAATAGGCCCTGTTTGTACAAGAGTCATAAATGTAAAGCAAGGTCCAGTTTGGACTAGAATCAAAATGGTATACATAGGTCAAGTCTGAATTAGATGCAAAAAGACTGACTTAGGTCCAGTTTCCACTAGAATCAAAACGGTAGACAAAGATCAAGTTTGAACTCAGGAAATTTTTCTCCCCGGAATCGATACTTCAAATCTACAAATCAACAATTCGCCCTTGCATGGAGTATTGCTGCCGTATATGGTCTGGAGCCCCTTCTGTTTGCCTCGGGGTTCTTGATAAGCTCCAGAGACGGATATGCAATATAATTGGTCCTGCACTAGCATCTCGCCTACAGTCGCTCTCTCACAGACGCGTCGTCGCCTCTCTCTGTCTTTTTTACAAATACTTTCATGGTAATTGCTCCGGTGAGCTGCATTCGCTGGTTCCCAGACTTCATGAATTCAAACACCCTACGAGGCTGGCATCCCGCTCTCACCCTTTCACTGTTGAAACTCCTAAATGTAGCCGTCTCTTCTACTCCAATAGCTTCATGTCTCGCACCTCTCACATGTGGAACTCCCTTCCCTATTCCAGTTTCCCTGAGAGCTCTAATCTCCAACTATTCAAATGTAATGTCAATCGACATCTTCAGTTGTCTTGATCTATCCACTATCCTTCTCCTCATCCTTTCCTCTATCACTCCTATCCGATCTCGCTCCAAATCTTCTGTAACCCTTTGCGTCCTAGTGGCTTCACGCCTTGCTTGGCGTGAAACGCTTTAAAAAAAAAAAAAGGTTGACTTAAGTCCAGTTTGCATTAGAATCAAAACGATAGACATAGATCAAGTTTGAACTAGACGCAAAAAAGGTTGACTTATGTCCAGTTTGCATTAGAATCAAAACGATAGACATAGATCAAGTTTGAACTAGACGCAAAAAAGGTTGACTTATGTCCAGTTTGCATTAGAATCAAAACGATAGACATAGATCAAGTTTGAACTAGACATAAAAAAAGGTTGACTTATGTCCAGTTTGCATTAGAATCAAAACGATAGACATAGATCAAGTTTGAACTAGACGCAAAAAGGTTGACTTATGTCCAGTTTGCATTAGAATCAAAACGGTAGACATAGATCAAGTTTGAACTAGACGCAAAAAGGTTGACTTAAGTCCAGTTTGCATTAGAATCAAAACGATAGACATAGATCAAGTTTGAACTAGACGCAAAAAAGGTTGACTTATGTCCAGTTTGCAT